CGGCGAATGCACCAAGAAAACCCAACAACACCCATCGAGCAGACCACCCAAGAAACACCAAGGTTAATTATCCAACCACCACTAAATAAAAGACCAGCGGCATTCTCCCCAGAGATAACTACAAGAGAGAGAAACCCATTCCAAAACAGCCAAGAAAAGAAACCAAGAGCAAAGGACTCAACCCAAGCAATCTTCTGGGCAAGGGACCTAATTCTACAAGCATCTACTATGGCCGAATCCCATCTATCCCAAAACAAACTACTACAACTACTGGACGTCTTTAGAGACTTTACGGAATTAGGCAGGGTTACGCAGCAAATGACTGAGAAGTTTACAGCACAGCTTGCGTACCAGACTACAACGCTTACAAGCGCCTCCCAACAAGCTACAAAGACACTAAAGAAAGCTGTTAATGCCGCAACCGGACCACAAAACCCAAATAACCAAGAAAAACCAAACACCCAGAACACCCAGAACACCCAAAACACCCAAAACAAGACATCATACGCTAGCGTAGCCGCCCAGAACAACGGAAACACATGGACTACAGTGTCTACAAAAAAGAAGACAAACAAAAAGCCAGCAAGCTACTACCAAGCAGTCCTTACGCTTACCCAGCCTACGTCCCACACACCACTCCAGATTAGAGACTTAATCAACGAAGAGTTCACAAAGGGCGGCATCAAAGACCCAGTAGTGAAGGAAGTAACAACAAGTAGAAAGAACAATATTATCCTAACAACCACTCCAACCTACTCAGGAGAATACCTAGTCCAACACAAGCATATATGGCATCAAAAGTTTGAGCTAAAGAATGTACAACTACTAGAATCATGGACGAAAGTAGTAGTACATAATGTGCCAACAGAATAGGAGGGAGCAGAGACACTAGAGATACTCCACACAGAAATCCCAGCATACAACAACGGACTACAAATTACTGGCAACCCATACTAGATATCAAGAGAATGGCAAAACAAGAAGAACAGCTCTATTGTAATAGCATTCAAAACAGCCGAAGACGCAGCCAAACTTGGTGGTAGAATTACAATCCTTGGACAAACTCTCTTCACTGAAAAGTTCAAGTCTATAGCAGCATCTACCCAATGCCTAAACTGCCAACAATTTGGCCACCCAGCCACTAGATGCCGAAACCAACCAGCATGCAATTTGTGCGGAAAAGAACATGCAACTACAACACACAAATGCTCAGTGTGTATTATTATTATTATTGTTGAGAATACAGTCCGTAAGTGACTTGGTGGTATCAAGCGGAGGAGTAGTCACATGATTGGTGACACGTGCAGGTGGGTCCTAGCGGGGAGCTTGGACGCAGCTGCACGCAACACGGATCTACGAACGTGTGAATAGCTCCTTAGTCAATACAATACGAGTCGTACCACCACTACCGTTGTGCCTTAGTGTCAGATATAATGAGATATTGCACAAAAGTGATGGATGTTGATGATTGTCTGTATTGTGTTCTGTCTATCGTGTGTCCGCGCTTGTGGCCCTCTTGAGGGGCGCACTGACCCTCTCTACGCTGATTGGTTGCTGCCAACGTCGAGTAACCCTGCTATCTGACAATAGTCTAGTAAACGCTGTAAAGTCCCGACAGCGATCGCAAAAGAAATTAACGACAATTCCAGAGATTGGCTCTATTCCGGCAGGATCCACCCTTTTTAAATTATAACTTGTATCTTTAGGCTTGCCAAAGCCTCCAGCGGAATATCTGTCGATGCTGATTAACTTCGACACTAGCAGCACGGGAACTTAAACTTTTAACCCGACACTAGTATCGGCCCGCTAATGCATTATTGGATGTGTGCGGATTACACAGTATACTGATTCGCATATTCGGCATCCGGTTTTGCAAGAAATCCGATTATATTTTTGACAGGGGTCCTTGCTGGCTCGAGCCAAAGGCTTATCGGATGTGTGCGGATTACACCGTATGCTAATTCGCATATTCGGCATCCGGTTTTGCAGGAAATCCGATTATATTTTTAACAGGGGTTCTTGCTGGCTCGAGCCAAGGGCTTGCCGGAAAGAGAACGAGCAGACTACTCAAGACGCGCACACAAGATAACTAGCGTGATGCTAACTGCTCTTCTAGGCAAAGTCTTTGTTTACTGTACTAGGGACCCTTGTCGTGTGAGAATCTCCTGTCTTGCAACACGCGGAAGCCAAATATGCAAATTAGTGTAACAAGACACTAATTCCTAGTTATGCACTAATCTACTTCAACATTTGTGCAAATTAATCTCTAACTATTAGTTTTCAGATACATCGCTAGGGGCTACCTATGTGTTCATCCGGAGCTCTCACCGTAGTAGCTTGCTAATTCTCTCATAAACTGAGAAGATTAGCGCTGAGCCAAAAGCCGACTTTACTATCGTAATACTACAACCTCGGTATAATCCACGTAACCCAAATTGTTGCCAGAGGTGTGAAGTTACATCAAGGAATCTCAAACTAGGGCTATATTGGCTTTGGCTGAAACAATGTGCGGTTTGCATGTATGACTTGACCGTGTCGGCAGGGTAGACTGAAAAGGTGTAACCCATACCTGCACACGCGCCAGCCATGACTTGTTGCCAAGCAGCCTTTGCCCCAGCCAAGGATTCCAACTGTCCCTCGATCGTTTGAGGGGTTATACGTTGTAAGGAGCGCTTCACACCCTCGTAACTGCCGAACCAAGCTGCGGTCCCGCCAGCCTCCCGAATGATGATAGCGATCTGTCCACTCCAGAATCCGGACATGCCGTAGCGACAGTATATCTCCTCAATAGTAGTTCTTGTCCCACGCCTTTGCAACTGTATGCCTGCTTGGGTCTCCGGGAGCACTTGCATATTGCATTTAATCATCTCGATAGGATTTAGAAGGAAAGATGTGATTGCGCCGGATGCTGCACCGCACAAAACTACATTACGTAGCACTATGAAGTCGGATTTAAAGACAGCACCCTCTGTGTCGGCTTCGAGGATTTTTTGGGCAAGCCTAAACTTCAGGGAAATTAGTAGAGAACTTCAGCTTAATATTAGTAACCTACGCTAAGAAACAAACTACTTGTTTCGATTGCTGCTCCAAAGAGAGGTGCACTTATCCCTCTGTAAAGAGCTAAAAACCCTTCTTGACGTAGCGACTGTTTGAAACAGTCAAGGGGTCCAGAGTAACGTAATGGTAAATGGCCTGGTTGTGATTGGAGTCGCACCTTAACAGTATCAAATGGGTACTCTACACTCATACCGGCGGCGCCCGCAACAAAACCTGATACAACATGTTTGAAAAATTCACCCTCGTATAGAACAGTTGCCATTGCCTGTGTAGCTTAAATTATTGTAAAACGTAGAACAGGCTCCGTAGGTTCTGCTAAACTTCTTCTAGCCTTATGTAGGTTTCTTATTACACTTACTAGTTACGATTTGTCTTTGTAGAAAACCTTAATTAGTAATAAGTTGTCGGAAATATTTAGCGGCTATCTTTGTTAGATTATAATGCGTCTTACTTTTCTAGAAATTGAGCTATGTCTTTCTTTGTCCTGTTTACGTTATTACTAATATTTCTATCCTACCGATACGAATAACGTGCTTCATAAGCGAGAGAACCACTCAACTAAGCTGACCAGCAAACCCTACTAATACGCCTGCACAATAGCAGCCTGTAATGTTCCCATCGACGGACAGCGCGCTCGAGGTACCAGAGTTAATGATAACGTACTCCACGGGTTGAGCGGTCATTTTTGCTAAGCCTCTACCAAAACTTCGCCTATTATTGCACAAAGTAGCCTACTTTCCCCCTTTATAGTACAGTACAACATAAAATATTATTCAGAGTCCACTTCTGCTACTTACTTCCACGTACGCGCATTATGTCCAGTTCTATTGCACTAGAGCTGTCTGTTGAGCGTCGTCCGCTCCTGCAAGTATTACAATCCCTTCTGCCTTAACCCGCTTTATTTTGTGCGATTCGCGTCGAACAGAGGCCTTATTTGCTGCTCGAAGCTTAGCAATATCCTTAGTTAGCGTACTCCATGAGTAGATCTAGAGATATGAAGCTCTAGATTAGTGATTTCCCTTAGTAAAATTAGAGTGGCGGCTAACCCGTGGAGTACGTTATGCGCAAGTTTTATTGCTCCTTTCAAGGTTAGTGAACTATCGATAAACCTTTCAATCCTTGCCTTCACAAGCGTCGATTGCGACCCTAATTGAAGGTATTACTTAGTGTTAGCGACTGCTAAGGCTCGTTCTTAAGTAGTGACGTATTCTCTCATCGCGTAAGTCAACTCATCGAGTGGGTCAAAGAAGCTTGGCACAACGAACTCATGTTACGACTCTTCAATCTTATCGCTATTGAACAAGGAGCCTATGTACGTTGTGCTTGCATCTGATTTAGAAGATACCTCTATGTCTTTTTTGCACGTTCGCGCATTGTGTCTAGTCTCGCCGCACTTTCTACAGTGCCGTAGAGCTGGTTGAGCTGGCTCTTTATTACTACCACGAGCCCTTTTTGCTGGCGGCACCGTGGAGGACAGTGCCACTAACACCATCGTAAAAATGTATTACTAGTGTACAGAGCTGTGAGATAACTAAGAGACCAATAGAATAAGTGAGTGATATAGTTTCTATTTGTTAACTGTTATTAAATTTCTCTTAGTGCATGCTTAGCTTGATGCATTTAAATCTAGAGGCGGCAGACAATATGCGTAATAAAGAGTTGAACACTATTACTAGCTATACAATTGCCTTTGTTGGATGCACGCTTGTATCCTTATTTCAGCCCGTATTTTATTAACGCGGACTGTTAGTATACACACGGTGTGTCGCCTACTAAGGCCTAACGTACCGCCTCAATCCTACTTCGGATCCCCTCAGGTCTGATAACCCCGCTCGGACCCGATGACATGTATACCTTCGTAGCCCCACACTGGTAGAAGATACACACGAATACCAATACACAAGATTACCTTAGTTACTGTTATTCACCGTACGATCGTACAAGGCCTTCCAACACAGACTAGATTTTGTTGCGCTACTAAAAGGTCTTTTACTTATTATAAGAGTTTCTCCTAAGATAAAGTCACTGGATACTAAGAAGCATCTAATAGTAAAGATTTCTTAATGATCTGCTATGATATTGCTCGTCTAAACAGCAATGGTTCAAATTTAATGTCGCCACACTAAATAGAGTAAGCCCTGAAAAAGCCTGGAATTTAGTAGAAAAGAAGATGTGGTAGCATTTTTGACCCTTTTAGATAAATCGTACCCTATTGATACGTTTCTAAAGTTAAGCATCAACAGCACACAAAGCAAGATAAGCACGAGTTTTTCCCGGACAGTCAAGTAAGTATTGAGCTCCGAGTAGCTCTTCTGATTAACGATTTTTGAGGCATACAGAGACTAACATACATGGCAGTATGGATCAAGCTAAATATCGTAATTTAGAGGTTTACGATCTAGTTTGCGTCGGGTTTGGGCCGGCATCTCTTTCAATCGCCATTGCCCTAGATGATAGGCACAAAGAGCGAAAATCTTCAGATGCACATGCAGTTCCACCGAAGGTCCTGTTTCTTGAGAAGAAGTTGGCTTTCGGCTGGCATACTGGAATGCTGTTGGAAGATTCGAGGATGCAAATCTCCTTCATAAAAGACCTGGTGACCTTGCGGAACCCCAAGAGCCCTTTTACCTTTATGAATTACCTGCACACTCATAGCAGGCTAGCGGATTTTGCCAACTTAAACACTTTTTCCCCATTCCGGTCCGAATTCGGGGATTACCTAAGATGGTGTGCTGCTCATTTCATCGACGATGCAGCATATGGTCAGGAGGTTTTACAAGTCATACCGGAGGATGCTGAAGGAGATAATCCTGTGCGTCACTTTATTGTCAAGAGCCGTAATGTTGTTACTGGCCTTATCACGTACCGGAAGACGAGACGCGTTGTTATTGCAACAGGTGCACGACCACATTTGCCGGATCATTATCCAAAACACCATCCGAGAGTAGTACACTCCTCCGAGTTCCTACATCGGGTTCCCGGAATACTTGAAGGAATACAACGTCCCAGGATAGCTGTAGTCGGATCGGGCCAAAGCGCTGCTGAGATTTTCGACTATCTTCGTGGGAACTGTCCTGTCTCCACAGTCAACCTCTTGATCCGAGGCCAACATCTCAGACCCAGTGATGATTCTCCTTTGTAAGTATACCTCAAATCTAGGTCTAAACCCTGGCGCACAAGTATCTAATTACGTTAAGCGTCAACGAAATTTTCAATGCGTCCAAAGTAGACGAAGTCTACCACCGAAGCCTTGGAGTTCGCTCTAGGACAATACTAGATGATAAGAACACAAACTATGGCGTTGTAAGAGTCAAACTTCTCGAGCGAATCTACGAGTCGCTCTATAGAGAACGCCTGGGTGGCAATCCTGCAAAGAAACCAATGCATCAGATCTTGAATTTCCGGTCAGTTGTTGCTGTGAATAAGGCAACTCCGGATTCAGAAAGCCTATGCCTTACTATCCAAATACTACCTGGCTCCTGCGAGTCCAAGCAGGATCTAACAACAATGGAAGTTGACTTGTTAATTGCTGCAACTGGTTACAAGCATGGCTATCCAGATGACATCCTCGACGGATGTGCCAGCCTTATTTCGGATGAAAAAGGGGGATGGAGGGTGGACAGAGATTACCGTCTAATGTTTGACGAGGGAAAAGTTTCTCGGGGCGCTGGCATATGGTTGCAAGGTTGTAATGAAGCAACTCATGGAGTAAGTCAAAACACGTCATTGCGCCTGAGATATTTGATCTAGAAGATACTAACGATATGGTAGCTAAGCGACAGTTTGCTATCAGTAATGGCTACAAGAAGTGCTGAGGTGGTTGCGTCTATGTTTGGGTGTAGAACAGCAAAAAGGCCGACCTACTCGCTGTTGTAGCTTGAAGGTTGATATAGACTATATCTGACATTGGGGATTGTTGTTGTTGCATAAGGATAATCTCACGATACGCGGGGCAGGCTTCGACCCGCAACGGGTGGTGATAGAGAATGGGATCTATAGGTACTCCTTAACGAGGTGAAATCAGCCAGGCCTATTGCCTTCTAGTAGCAGCTATATAGACCTTAGCTGCGATCACCTTAGTATCTTATCACATGTCTACAAGAGAAAGAGGTTACAATACAGGCCTTATACCCAGTACCTTAACACAATAGTAGGCAATAGGTATACACAGAACAGTGCTGTCAACAACTTAGCAATTGGAGTTTAAGTCCACAAGCTATAGCAGCAGCAACTTTGACTGCAACGGTCGCGGCAACAACAGAGCAACTGCAGCTTGGCTGCTCGAGGCATCACGTGCTAGCCTTGAGCGAGGTATCGAAGCCTCGCAGCAGTCTTCGCGATATGAGCACGTGTCGAGATCTCGGCTTGATCCGATGTGAGAGTTACCCCAGATTTCCAAAGTTCGGATCAATAGTCCAGAAAGCCATAGGTAGCGAGGAAAAGGTGGTTGTTTGGTCGTTGAGCTCAACGAGCCAGATATCGATGCCAGGCAGCAGGTATAGGTTTTGTGAAGGATACAAAATTAGTGCAGTGCACTCATGATCTCTCCTATCGCGACAAAATTGCTATTAATCTTCGTCATTTCGAATTGATCGTCGCAAGCTCTCGTAGCCTTGAATTGCTCATCGTTTTGAGCATGTAGCTCTTAATCTTGAACCGTATACCGTACGGTGTTGGCTGTAGGTCTGGTGGGGCGGCTGCCATCGTCTATGGTAATGCTCTCTTCATTCTGATGCTGCTTTATGCGCCATTTTTCGAGCGCCTGGTTGATCTTGTCTCTCGAATCCTTGTCTCTGACTCATTTAAAGCCTGCGTGCAGCTTTTTACGTTATAGCCAGCCTCTCCGCAGTTGCCGCAGCGTCGGCCACCACAAGCCTTTTCTACCAGCGGCACCGTAGAGGACGGTGCTAGGCCGGCCCGCAACGCTGCCTCACCGTACTCCATAGTGCCACCAGTCTAGAGACGCCTCCTTCTACGTAATTTTCGCTTAGTTATTATTATTAATCGTTCTTGAAGGTCGCAAACGTATTCTGTTACAAGCGCAGCTTCTTGCGGCATTTGCTGAGTACCTCTGTCAAGCCGTGGGTAGGCTTCCTGTAACATTGTAGGACAACGCTGGAAGGAGTCGCAAACTAGCTTCGACTGTGATCCAAACTCAGAAGTGTTGCTGCGCACCTTAGACTGCCGTAAAGTTCCTTCTAGCAGGGGTGCTGGCGGGGTGCGGAGCCGTACGTCAAGTATTACGGTAGATGCAGTCTTGTGTAAAATAGGTGTAACTGCACAAGACAGTCAGTCATCGTCCGCGGTCGTTATCAAGATAGATGCTATCAATATATAGAGAGGCGTGCGTAAGCAGGAGGATGATTAGTCCGAAGTAGGATCAAGGCGGGTAGTTGAGACCACCATCACATGATGCACATGATTCACTATCCTCATGAACCGTTATATTAAGCCTATTTAACACAACCTGCGCGTTAATAGGGTTGGTTGGTTGGTTGGTTGGTTGGTTGGTTGGTTGGTTGGTATTCATTTTGCGTCTAGTTGATGGGGATTAAGTCCACCATCTCGCCTCCCGAAGGGCATATACGACGTGCTAAGCTATGGAATTACAGTGCTAACACACTACCTTAGAAAGCATTTCTTGCCTGCGCGGGTATTGCTACCATTTCAGAACTACAGCCCCCCTTCCAGCTGGGGAGACTGAGCTATGTATGTACATTAAGGAGATTTCCTTGCATTTTGAGGCCTCTATGTGCCGAGAGAGAGAGAGAGAGAGAGAGTGTGTGTGTGTGTGTAGGTATCGCAGTAGACAAGACGTCAACAACTGCATATGAGAACTGCGTTGATTGTCCTACGGAGTAGATACACAAGGTTATATACATAAGATATACGTAAGCACATAACGGCAAAGGAGTGAAAGTGAAGGTTGTAGAACATTCGGCCAAGAAGCATCGGGCCGATTCCAAGAAGGGTAGTCCTGAATGGCAACAGTAGGCAAGCACATTTGTAACTGCATGAGCAGTGTCGGGTCGGAGGCTGTAGATCAACGATTGTTTTGCTATCTCTTGTCATGTTATGATGTATGTGTACAAGAGCTCTCGGCTCCGAGGTAAGTGCACTTGCCCACCGGGCAGTGCCTGCTACAATAGGATATCATGTGACTCTAGTCACGTGGTTACAACATTTCATCATATTGTGTGTGCGAGATGCGGAAGACGAGTGTAGAAAGGCCTATCGCAGGCGAGATAAATAATGTGAAAGCGACAAAGGAGGAGCCATGAGGCTTGTGCTTCAATATCTTTCTGTACACACTGCTGCGTGAAAGCGTGAATAACTTCGCCTTCGGGTACTGTAACTTCGCTGCACGGTGCTTGGAGCGAAGCAAGGACAAAACTGAGGTTCTTCTATCAGTTCAACACGAAGACGGTCATGCAACGCATCGAACACCAACTTTTCGAGATGACAAAAAGGTCCTGGATTACCCTTTTTTCATCTCAAATCTATTGAAATGCCTTCCTAGAATCAGTTTCCAACGCCTGTTTCTGCGTGCAGGCGTTGTGGCGGGCGCAACTTTGACAGAGTTGTGACCTGGCCTTAGTTGAGAGAAATCTCTGCAAGTGGTCCGTGCGCCAACTGATTTTAGATGTTCGATCGAAGGCACCCTCTACGAAACCGACAGAGCAACGGCTCTTCCTTAGGTATATAGCTCTATTGCTGCAAAGTAATAGGCCTATATATCTAGATGCTACCTATACCCGAACGCCCTAAACCAACTCGATATACCGACCCCATATACCGAACCGCTCCAGCACCTGCTGTCACCAGCACACGCACGAGCAAAACACCGACCAGGCACTAGATGTATAGATCTATTATCTCTCTTGTAGATCCCTATATACAGACGCCTACACCAAATACCCTCTCCACCGAACGCCCTAAACCGACCCGATATACCGACCCCATATACCGAACCGCTCTAGCACCTGCTTTCACTAGCACACGCACGAGCAAAACACCGACCAGGCAATAGCTGTATAGATCTATTCTCTCTCTTGTAGATCCCTATATACAGACGCCTACACCAAAAACGCCCTCTCCACCGAACGCCCTAAACCGACTCGATATACCGACCCCATATACCGAACCGCTCTAGCACCTGCTTTCACTAGCACACGCACGAGCAAAACATCGACTAGGCAATAGCTGTATAGGTCTATTATTGTTAGGTTATAATAGATCCCTGTATACAGACGCCTACACCAAAACGCCCAAAACATCGACTAGGCAATAGCTGTATAGATCTATTCTGTCTTGTAGATCCCTATATACAGACGCCTACACCAAATACCCTCTCTACCGAACGCCCTAAACCGACTCGATATACCGACCCCATATACCGAACCGCTCCAGCACCTGCTTTCACTAGCACACGCACGAGCAAAACATCGACCAGGCACTAGATGTATAGATCTATTCTCTCTCTTGTAGATCCCTATATACAGACGCCTACACAAAACAACAGACAGACACTGTATAAAACTACAAACAATATTTCTTTTCGCAAAGAGCTCGCTGTTACATCTCTTTCTGTTCACCACACTGCTCTTTAGCACCCGCGCCGATGGAAGACTAGCTCGGAAATTGGACTACGCAACTATCCTCCAAATTGTACAAGACCTATAGAAACTCCATATTGAACAACATACATAGAACGGCTTAGCCAAAGTCCTACATAGTCACCGACTGATACAGGACTCTAATGGAAATATAATAATAATAATAATAATAACACGAAGACGGTGCGAAGAACTTCGTTGCGAGCAACAAGCTCCTGGCATGCATTTGCAAGCCTGGAAGTATCGATTGGTGAAGTAAACTTGATCAGCTCGTTCCGGAGCGAGTAACGTGGCAGAGCGACAGTTGCCTCGACTGCGAGCTGCTGCAATCGCCTTGGTGGGTAGATGTCAACGATCTCCTACTCCTGATTTTCGAGGTACGAGAAGATACGGTCAGCGCTATACAGCGACGCCTCCTTGCCTGGAGCACCAAATGGCGCACCTACCAGAACATCGGGTTGTGATGGTTTCGTACTTTGGACAGACGCAGCTAGCTCGGATAGCGACTTGCTCTTGAACACTTGTGCGACTGAGATTTCCAAACCTTGTGCACGAGCATCTGAGACTAGCCTCATTGCACCAATAGAGTCACCGCCCAGATCGAAGAAGCTATCCTGTGCGCTGATGTCATCTTTGGGCATACCAAGGATCCGACTAAGTAACTCGAGCACTTTGTCTTCCTTCTCGTTTCCAAACGAGGCTGCTAGCTCGGAAAACGACTTGCTTTGGAAGACCTGTGCGACTGAAACATTGAAACCTTGGGCTCGAGCATCTGATACCAACCTCATGGCATCGATGGAATCTCCACCAAGCTGAAAGAAACTGTCGTTTGGGTTGATGTCGACTTCCGGCATACCAAGTATGCAACTTAGCAGACTCCTCAGCTTCTCCTCGTTAGCAGAAAGAATCATTTTCGGTGCAAGCGCGTCTTCAACTGTAGCACCCTCCACCGGTGACATGCCAACGCCACTGTCACTCATGACGCCTTTGGGCCTCATTTGTAGCGCATCTTGCTCCTCTTGGGTGTCGAGTACTGCCAGATCACCGAGCTTACTCTCAGGGTTGCCCAAGAATGTCGTAACGATACGGTCAAGGACGACCATAACTCTCTCCATAGCGGCGGAGCTGATGCACTTCGAATCGAAACTTGCCATGATGAGAAATCCATTCTCTTCGAGAGTACATACAAGCATGAGCGCATACGTGTTGAACTTTAATGCTTCTCGCGCTGCTTCGACATCGTCCGCAGGGAGGAACTTGTCCGCCGGCGAGTCTCCGTCCGATTTGCTGCCCCAACTTTCACTTTCGTTTCGATTAAGTACGAGGCCGGTGCGAAGCTCGCAAGCATTGCGAGCATCCCTGCTTAATCGCCGGATGTTCTGAAGACCCAAATGTTCGTGCGGGATCTGTTGCACAGTTTGCGCGTGAACAGTCTGCAAGAACTCGGAGATTGGTCGGTCAAGACTGAGGCGAACTCGCACAGGAATAGTAGTGATCATCGGGCCTTCAATCTGCTCGATGCCGTGCACAGGTGCAGAGCGTCCAGTAAGCGTTTCGCCGAAAACGATATCTGCGTGGCCCATATACAGCGACGATACCAGTGCCCACGCGCCACGAATAATTGTGGCCAACGTGAGCTTCGAATGTACTGAAGTCGGAACCTTTACGTAGTGTTCAAGTGAAGAGTTGGCTTGCGTAATGTATCCCTTGTATGGTAGAGGAGGGAATTGATATGGGTTTACTCCATGTAGTCGCTCTCTCCAGTAGTCATTGGCGACGATCGGATCAAGTTGGTTAAGATGTTTGATGAAGTGCTTGAACGAGGCTGGGCGAATGGTCTTCTTACCGATGGATGCGCGAGTGATCCTCTCGACGACTAGAGGCATCGCCCAACCATCGTAGACCGCATGATGCACCGTGACAACAAAGTGGCACTTATCGCTTCCAGCTTCTTCAACTAGGCCGTAGCGGAACAATGCTTTCCCTAGCTCCATGGGCTCGTTGCGGTCAATCTCAAGGTATTTGGCTACATCTGAGCCGTGCTCCCGCACCAATTGGGCATCCTTGAGCACGACTTGGAAGAGACCACGGCCCGGCACGTTGATGATACGCGTCCGCAGTATGGGTAAGTCTTCAAGGGCTATTTCCAAACCTCTCTTCAACTTTAGTGCAGCTTCAAGAGACATTGTAGCAACACGCTGTGCAACATATGCGTCGTTGAACTTGGCTATCAATGCCATGAGACCTTCCTGGAGGGGTGTGCAAGGATAGACATCTTCTACTACTACAGTGTCGACGCTGCAGAGCTGAGCACATTCAACTCTTGCTTGTTCGGCATCCCATTCTGGCCCGAGAAGTGAAAATGCTTGTATGTCCTTCGTATCGACTGCCGATAGGGGCATCGCTTTAGTAGCCATGGCCGACAGCGTAGAATGGAGCATGATATCCGGCACATTGAGCACAATGCCTTCTTCTCGGGCTGCCGCAACAAGCCTCATTGCCCGTAAAGAGTCGCCTCCCATATTGAAGAAGTTATCATTGGCGCTGACGTCCGCATCTCCACCGAGGACCTTTGCCCACAGCGAGCCAAGTTTGAGCTCCGTCTCGGTAGTCGGCTCTTTCCTTTCCGACATTGTCGCGTTGAAGCGTCTGAGATCTTGGCGAGTGACGACGGTTCCAATCTCCTGAAGACGTTTTCTGTCTGTTTTGCAGGATACAAGCAGTGGCATCTTCTAGACCGGAATGTAGGCGGCCGGCACCATATAACCAGGTAGGCCCTTGACCAACTGCTTTGTCATACCTTGCAGCGCCGTTTGGAACTTGTTCGTAAAGCTGCCAAAAATATTGCCGTCGAGATGTCGCATACCGTTGTCTCTCTGCTCGACAAGGAAAGCAACCAGAGTAGGTTCGCCGCTTCCACCAGGCTTAATGACTTCGGCTGCGAGTTGACAGTCTGAAGGTAAGTTTTTCTGCATATTGTATTCAATTTCCGCTAACTCGATGCGTTGGCCTCGGAGTTTGACTTGCTGATCTTGACGACCGACGAAGATAATTTCACCGTCCCCATCGGGGTCGTAGCGCACGAGGTCTCCGGTTTTGTACATGCGTCCATGTCGGCCAGGCATAGTCTTGCTCCCTAGTTGGAGGAACTCCGGATCTTCAATGAACACCTCTTCTGTTTTCTCGGGGTTGTCCAGATATCCATTTCCAACTATAGGCCCTTCGATGAGCAGCTCGCCAACTGCACCGATGGGTACGAGCTTGTTGTGATTGTTGGGCTCGACCAACCAAAGCGCGCAGCCAGCAGCCCTGCCCATGGTAATATATGACTTTAAACGCACGTCAGGGTTGATGGTGGCTCCGACTGTAGTTTCTGAAGGTCCGTAGGCGTTCACAATTCTTGTCCTCTGTCCCCAAGAAGTCGCATCGCTAGAAGAAACTCCCTCACCGCCTAACGCAAGCGCGTCGAGGTGCTCGAGAATGTCTACATCCAGTGTGCGAGCTACAGATGGAGTCATGCCAGCGAATGTGACTTTCATGTCACGCATCGCACCACCGAGATCGTTCATGCGACGCTCCTCGGATGGCGTGCAAAGTGTTCCTCCAGCTGCTAGGGTGCAAAGCATGGAATCGATACAGACGTCAAAAGCATAACTAGCAAAGTCTAAGACGCGAGAATGCTGTTGGTAGCCGATGCGATGTGCTCGGGGAACCGCACCGGATGTGTACTGGCTGTGCGTGATGAGACATCCTTTAGGTAGACCTGTGCTACCGCTTGTGAACTGGACGTACATCTGTGCAGATGGAGATACGTTGGGCAAGGCCGTCTTGGGCTGTTGCTTCGCGAACGGGCTATAGATCTTGTCGAATCTGGACTCGGAGATCGGGAGGATAGTAGCAGAAGGAGCAATTCGTGCGGCAAGCGTTGCTTGAGACTTTGCACAAATGAACGATGTCGCGTTGATCTGTTGCGTGATCGATCGTAATCGTCCTTCCGGCTGCGCGGGATCCAGAAGGGCAAAGCATGCGCCTGCCTTCATGACAGCAACAACAGCTACTACTGTCCATCGCGACTTTTCGAAGAGTACCGGAATGATCTGGTTCCACGAATCATCAAGCAGTCGCAAGGTTTGCGCTAGGTCGGTAGAGTAGTCCTCGATTTGCCGATAACTCAGTTTACCATCCCATGCTTCTATCGCAATCTTGTCTTTTAGACGAGCCGCTTGCTCTGAGATAATGTCGTGATGACACATCCTTATGTCGGGGTGAATTGGCGTGTTCCATCCCCACAACTCTTCAAGCTCGCCTTGCGATATAGACACGAAGCCAGATAGACCATAGTTTGGGTCTTTGAAAAGAGTATTAAGAATAAAGACAAAGAAATGAAGTTGCGACACTGCTTGGTGTCGAGCCATGGTTGGTGGGAGCCATTGCGATGTCACGTTCAGCGCGCTTTTACGTATGTCAATGGACACTTCGAAGGCCCACTACTAGATGTTAGTCACGCTGTATTTGCTGGAAATTTGTACCTACTTCAGCAGTCGTTCCATCGTTCAGGAAAAGCTTCGAGCCTTCATTGATTGCATGATCCTTGGTCCGCAGACTGCCGATCTTGGCTGTTAAGCTCTTCGCCGCGCTCTGGTTGGAAAGATCGAGCTCAGTTGCCGGTATACATTGCGCAGAGTCCGTCCTAGCATCGCTAATGCCCCATGTAAATTGATGAAATGCATCACGTTGATATCGCTCGACCAAGATTATCCAAGATGTGAGGACAGTGTCTAGCACTTCGTCGGGCGTCCAGTCCTTGGGGGGCGATATTTGAGCTTCGTTCAACTTTAGAGTTTTGGCATTGTGCCGATCGAATTCTTTCATATGTTGGTCGATTTGCTGTAGCGTAGAGACGAAATTGCCGGGCATAGTTTTCTCCTTAGTCTTCCCAGACATACCACCGGAGCATATAGCACCTTCACTATTCGACAGGTGTATGTTTGTGGGTGGGGTGGACCGACGATCTATATAGACAGGTTGTTATAATTTGCCTTTTGAATGTAAAGTTGTATGAGAGCGTGGATGTTCTAGAGCAGAGCGATCCAGGCATCAGTCCTTCTAATAGAAAGAGCCAAGCATCACGAGTGCGCTTGTTCTCCAAACTCTCTACTAAACTTGTCGCCTAATTACTTTGGACGAAAACTCTCCACATACCAAACCTCGATGGTCTTCCAGCACCACGCAGCACATCTTCGGCCAAGCTCTGCCGAACGGAATAACAGTACTTCGCGTCATAGTACGCACACATAGAAGCAGGGTCAAACAGTTGTTATCGTAGGCGGTTACCTATGTCCGTCATCTTAGAGTGCCTACCATGAAAACTAAGCGAGCGAGTACATTATGCATCAACTCGCTTTTGTTAGTAGAATAAAAGTCTTCCTACTTGCATTCCAACACTGCGGGGTGAGTAGCTCCATCTGACAAATTAAACAAATAATCTGATAATTCTGGATACATGCAAAGCTTCGTGTTGTAGTAACACAGCAGATACAGAATGACATTAGCGGACCGTAAATCCTAGGTGTTGAAAAAATCTAATAACGAACGATTCTCAGAGCCAGACGCTTACCTAGCTGTTCGCAGTCAATAGGTTATACACGAGAGTATGCTGCATCAAACGTTGATGATGTAAGCCGCGAATTATAAAAAGGTCCGATACTCTAGTAACTTTATATACATTATAGATTTTTCGGCGTATTACTACATATGTGCCTTGCTAATTACAAATAATAGGTGTTGTTAGATCGTAAGTATTAGTAGGTACATCAGCTGCCCAACGGTAGCTAACAACCGCCTCGATCCTACTTCGGCTCTACTCGTCTTAGATCAGAGACACCTCTGTAGCATTCCTACGTAGCTAGCAAACAACTATCACTAAATAAATGCATTGATAGTTACGTTATTTCCTCTCAGCACTAGTGCGAAGCTCTACTAACAGGTACTAAAAAAATCTAATAATATGCGATTCTCCGAGCCGGACGCTTACCTAGCCGCTAACAGCCGGCACGTTATACACGAGAGTATACTAACGTTCATCCTTGCGTAGCGGGACACCCTGTGTGCCGGGACCTGCGAATCAGACTTGCTATCAGTCAGTTCAGTCAGTCCGGAGGTCTCCGGACTGACTGAACTGGACTGAACTGACGTTGCCGCTGCTGTGGACTGACTGAACTGAACTGACGTTGCTGCTGCTGTGGACTGACTGAACTGACCTAGACTGATCTAAGCTAAATTAACTAATGTCAAACTGGGATAGCTGCTCTTGTATTTTTGAAATTTCTTCCTCTGATAGTACACCTGCTGGCCCATAAGTAGACATGGTTGCTGGCTATATACCAAGCCTCTTCTAGCTCTTTAAACTCCGTAAAGCTGCGACAAGCTCTGGCTTCATATGGAGTCTCCGCGTGCCTAACATGTCGCCAAGCTCGCTGAATGTCCGCTCGCAGTCTGCTGCTGCCGCCGGTATTGTGAGTATGTTAATAGCAAACTTAGAGAGTAATAGAAACTGTCCAGCAACTGACTCCCAGTAGAGCAGCGGGTTAAACGATAGCCGATCCTCTTTAGCTAACGCCGGTTGCCGCTTCCAGATCTCATGTTCATCCTCCCTCAGACCTGCCTCTACCTGCCGCAGATTGGTCTGAATCGATGACTGCAGAAAGGCTGATCGCGACGATGACAACCCTAGCCGGGGCTTCTTTTGCGGCGGCGTTACTGTGTCGGCTACGTCGACCGCAGCGTTGCTCCGCTCCTGCCACATTCGCAAGAACGCCCGATGGCTATTATCAAGCCAGCCGTCGCGATAGTAGACGCCGTCGCGGGCGGCGATATGGGTGTTAGACACCTTCCAGAGCGCCGCAAGGTGGTTTTTGTAGTGCGGGTGGAGGACCGTAGCGGCATAGTAAACAGGCGCGTTATCGAATTTTTCGTAGTACTCGGCAAGCTTACTATGCGCGAGGTTAACGTGCGTAACAAGATTGTCTTTGGGCGCGTCAGGATCTTCGTAATTAATGTTCTTAAGGCGGTCTTTGAGAGCCTCAAGCTAGTCAAGAAGCCATTTAAACGTTACTAAAACCTCCCATATAGCGCCGTGTCAGCCGCGGCCTTCAAGCAGCCGTGTAGCTTCCGCAAATGGCTCGAGGAGTTGGATATACTCCGTAATCGTCGTCCAGTCCTTGCCGCTTAGGCCACCCTCGCGTACATATAGTCGCGGCTGCGCAGCAGGCAGCAGCTCGAGGTTCTTCCGGCGTCATGATAGTGCTGTTGCGGCACTGTGCTCCTTGAGTTTGAACTCAATATAGCTGTCGATAGGACCATGTAGCTCGGCTGCGCGCACAAAAGTGTCGAAATAGCTATTCCAGCGCGTCTTAACAGGCTTAACAAGTTGCCGGATATTAGCTATAACGCCTATCGCCTCTGCCTCGTCACGCTGTAGGCGCTCTAATAGCTGTCGAGTTTGCGGCGTGCAGATGGACGCGATTACGTCAAAAAGGACCCCAATAGGGCCGTACTTGCGCCACTCATCTATGTACTTTTCCTCGTCGTTAATGTGAGCGGCGTCGTTCTCGTACGCGCTACGATCTTTACCCCAAATTACTAACTGCGCGCCTAGGTTGAGGATGTGGCAGCAGCAGCGCAACCGCCGCTCGCTTGCAGTAAAGTTGAACTCCTATGCTAAAGACTCAACCGCAGTATCGTTGTTGCTTGCGTTGTCAAGCACAAAGTATCCGACGCTTGTGTTGTTAACACCAAATAGCCGCAGTATTGTCGCCGCTACTGAGGCAATATTATTGCCAGTGCGCGCCCCGTGGAGCTCAGGTAACCCGAGCAAGTGGTCAACTAGCTTGCCGTCGCCGTTAAGGTAGTGTACACAGAGGCCGGTGAAAGCGTACTGTCCGCCAGTTGAGGTCCAGTTGTCAAAGGAAACGTGTATGAGCGACCGGGCTTCGCGAAGGTAGGCGGCAACGGCTGGTACGTACGCGTTGTACTCAGCAATAATATGATTGCGGAGCGTCTGGTGGCTACGCCAAAGGAGAGCTTCCGCTAGGGGACTTGCGGCCGCGATCATATTTCGAAACTGCGGCGTCTCTATTTGTCAGATTTTTATGGATGGGATCAAGTGTGTATTGTCCGTCTCTGTCTACGGCTCTGTCTGTGGGAGGTGGCCTCGCCTCGGGCTTGGCAGTGCTAAGTCCCGGCGCTAGCCCTGGTTTGGGGGTCTCATGTCCTTCCCCAACCACCATCGGCTCGATCATGGAGCAAAACCTCGCCTCAATCTGACACTATTACGCGTAGGCTCTGGTTGTCAGCAATTACCCAGTCCTTTAGCGCGTCTTGAAACCGAGAGGATGAAAAGCTTGCCGCTATCTCATTAGCAACCTCCTGGGAGACCTCTACACCACTAGACCTCATTATGTAGACTTGTGATTTTGCGAGCGCGCCTATAATGTTGCCCTCCCGGCTAGCAATTGGTATAGGTCCGTTAGGTCCAAGTGAGTGCCCAGGCCTGTTGCTTGAGAGGTGTCGACCGGCGTTTGTAGTGCTATCAGCCTCGTAGTAGGCCTCCTGTTGCCGCCGTTGCTTGTGGCAGATCTGGCAAAGCCAGTAGTTCTTCTTGTGCTTGCAGTGCCATACTCCCCAGCCGTGGCGGTAGATCTAGCTCCTTACTGCGCCGCGACTACGCTCTGCTTGGCGTCGCTCGAGGTACGGTACGCGCTTAAAATCAAGCCTAACGTAATAGTTATCGTCGTTAGGTAAGTTTGCATGTATGGCCACGGGCTTGTTGGGCTGAGCCTCGCTCGCAGTATCCCTATTGCAGTATATGCAGTCAATCAAAGGGTAACCGCGCGAGGCAGTAATCGTTGTATTCGCTATCTGTCTGTGCGTGTTCTCGTTGTCCGCTGGCCTTGCTACAAAGGCAGCAGCAGGGTCTATTTTTGTCAGATAGCAGGCGTGTCGAGCCGAAAGTGCCGACACCGCTAGCTAATAACGGGTTAGCGTCTTAGCAGAACAAAACTCTCAGCGCGCACCTTAGAACAGACACAAGAACAAAAAAATCATAAACATCCATCACTTTTGTGCAATATCTTATCTGATCTGACAATAAGCTGCAATAAAGATAAGCGCGGGACGCCATACCTAACGCTAAGCGCGGGTTAGTATACTGAAGTCATACCGACGTATTACCGATAACATGGTTGGCAAGCGAGCGGCGCACCCCACCAACTTTACTCACCTTACTAATCTCAATCTACAATGGCTCAACGCAGCACTACTCAATTACTATCAAATGAAGCAGATATTCAGCTTGCTATCTCATCTATCAATGCGCACCAGATCCAAGGTGCCCGTACTGCTGCAGTAGTCTACAACGTAGCCGAAACAACGCTCCGCCGCTGACGCGCTGGTATACCTGCCCGACGCGGTTGCCAGCCCAACTCAAGGAATCTTACCCAGAGAGAAGAGGAGGTGATTGTCAGCTATATACTTCACCTCGATCAGCGCGGGTTTGCGCCTACCTACGCAGCTGCACGTGATATGGCTGATAAGCTGCTGGCTGCACGCGGCGCTGGCTAGGTTGGGCAGAAGTGGCCAGCCAACTTTGTCAAGCGTACAGACAGTCTTCGGACGTGTTTTAACCGAGCGTACGATAGGCAGAGAGCTCTGTGTGAGGATGCGATATTAATAAAGAGGTGGTTTAAGCTTGTAGAAGAGATAAAGGCTGAGCAGAGTATCTGCGATGAGGACGTCTACAACTTTGATGAAGCTGGCTTTATGATGGGCAAGATTACAACGCAGCTAGTTATAACAGGAGCAGAGAGGAGAGGCAGGCCAAAGAGTATTCAGCCAGGCAATCGCGAGTGGGTAACGCTGATCGCTGCTATCAGCGCTGCTGGCTGGTCAGTGCCACCATTCCTCATCTTCGCTGGCCAGTACCACCTATCAGCGTGGTATGAGGAGGATATCCCACGCGACTGGGCGATCGCAGTCAGCGACAATGGCTGGACGAATAATGAGCTTGGAGTTGAGTGGCTAAAGCACTTCAACGCTCACACGCAGGCTCGTACTGTAGGCGCGCGTCGCCTGCTTATTATTGATGGCCATAGGAGCCACCAATCTCTAGAGTTTCAGGAACTCTGTAAGGAGAACAATATCCATATGCTCTGTATGCCTCCTCACTCATCTCACCTACTCCAGCCACTTGATGTTGGCTGCTTCTCGCCATTGAAGCGCGCGTACAGCCGTGAGGTGGAGAGCCTCATGCGCAACCACATCAACCACATCACCAAGCTAGAGTTTCTGCCAGCATTTAAGATAGCATTCAATCGCGCCTTCACGCCAGCCAACATCTGCTCAGCCTTCCGCGGCGCAGGCCTTGTTCCTCTACAACCAGAGGCTGTTCTATCAAAGGTAGATGCACAGCTGCGTACACCTACTCCTCCAGCAGCTCTGCCAGAGGCTCCCTGGGTAGCTCAAACGCCGAGCAACGCGCGTAAGCTTGAGGCTCAGTCAAGCCTAATACGTGAGCGCGTGCGCCAGCACAAGAGCTCATCACCAGCTTCAATTATTGAGGCAATTGACCAGCTAAAGAAGGGCGCTGAGGTGATGATGCTCTCTGCTGAGCTGATGCGCGATCAGATCTCTAGTCTTGAGAAGGCTAACAGCGCAGCCTCAGCGCGTAGGCGGCGCTCTAAAAGGCGTATACAGAAGCATGGAGTACTCACAAAGGGAGCTGGAGAGGATATACTGGCTCAAAATGAGGCTAACCAGCAGATTGCTCATGAAGAGCGTCAAGGAGGAGCGCAATCAGGCGTCAGCCAGCGGGCTCAAAGGCGCTGCACTAGGTGCAAGGAGACCGGGCACAACTCGCGCACATGCAACGCTAATACTATTAATATAGAGTAGTCTACTATATTAATATCTAGTATTGAAACAAGGTCCCTCTAGTAGTATGACTACCATGGATAACCGAGTGGGATGAGGGACAAGGCGGGGTGGCTGCAACGTATTGTATTGACTATCGTATCGAGTGTGTCAAACTCACTCTGTTCTGGTGGGTGCTATTGCCCAGCGGGCAGTGCCTGCCACACCAGCATATCATGTGACTCCCAAGCACCTTCTACCCTGGACTGAACTCAGATATTCTCAACAGAACCTTAGTTAATTCTCAACTTCTTCCCTATGCGTACGGTTCACCCACTCCAACAAGGGATCTATCTTTCCGGTAATCCCTGAGAATGTTACATTCGTATGTCAATCTCGTAGACCAGCGGAAACGTGCGGATGCTTACTAAACCTTAAACTAAGTTCCGAACTCGGTAACGGACATTGAAAAACGCCTGAATTGTGGAACAATCACCACTTCTCCGCACTTTAAACAAACAATTAGTCTAGATCTGGGATGCTGTTGATGGTCAGAGTAGCCAGTAATAGGCACTGATAAGGCTAGTATGCAAACTCAATCCACACCCCTTGAACACCCGCGCGTCGAATTAAGTTCTAGTCTAGGTAATAGGCTTTCAACAATGCCTGAGTTGCGGAACCATTAGAACCTCTCCGTATTGTCGATGAGCAATCAGTCTGGACCCGGAACAATGTTGTCCGTGAGAGCAGTCGAAGAGGGCTACTTGTTAAGACTAGCATGTGCACTAGATCTATATATTTATTGAACACCTGCGTGCCGTTGTGCTACTTCCTTAGAATCATCTATACGCCTTGGAAATTATTTTCAACAAGCCTCGAAAGATAACTTAAACGACTTTAGTACTGTAACGGTTTGGGACTTGCCAAGACCGACTTGGGTGAGAGTTGGGTACGGCTATCGCTACCACACTTTCTCATCACACACACCTATATAGCTGCAGTTCCTCCATAGCTACACAATGAAATGCAGTCCTCTTCTCCTCACACCGCTACAATAGCCGTACCCAACTCTCACCTAAGTTGGTCTTGGCAAGGCCCAAACCGTTACATTTTATAATACCTTTATAGGCGAGCAACCTAATCAAGCCTACCATGCCATCCGTAGGTCGTGTCGCTCTCCCTTTTGGTACGAATCAAACCATGCGATATCATGCACATACACTTGGTGAGGAGCTCGTAAGTAGTAAATGCTATGCCTGTCTTCCGCTTACAGAAGGCTAACTTTTGTTTAGAGAACTCTAGAAATTGACGTTGATATGCATAGCGACAATATCTCGCGTGTCTTGCTAGACACTGTTAGCGTTGTCGGCGCTATCTTCGAAGCCCACTATAAGATGCTAGCCGCGATGTACCAACCTACCAAATCCGACTCGATCTTATACAAAATTGCCCTGCCAGAAGGTATTATCGACGGTGACGCCCCTTACCTTTCTGCTGAAACGGTCGGCCTAGATTGTGGAACTGTACCCACTGTACTAGTCGACGAGGAGCCGTTCCTTACAGCAATGCAAGAACTTGCATTATCTGGCGACGTCATGCTCCTAGTCACACATCTGGAACAACAAAGAACCTTCTATCACCAGGCTGTGCGCGCGTTGTTTCGCTTGAATGAGTTTAAGGTCCATTGGAACTTAAGGCTAGTCAACCTAAGTAACCCTGAGATTGTCCGACAGATCCGCATAGGTCTTGGCTTCCTAGCACTCAACCTTGTCCTTTGCCCTTCCAACACTCAATTAAGTGTGTATCTAGTAGTAGCGAGCGAAGAGGCGAAAGCAATGTCTGGTATCCTCGAAGTTTCTGAGATCGAGCAGGAAAGCGAGTACGAGCGGATGTTGTTTACTCTTCTCCACCATTGGCACTTACGTTTACACAACGATAAGCCACTCTGTAGTGAGAAAAGGAATACAGTGAGCTTTCCGGGCTACCATGCGACACTGAATGCCCGACTTAGTCTTACAATAGTTTCAGCCTAAGTCGCGTGCTCAGGCCACTGAACATATGCTATTGCAACGAGAGTGCTCGATAAGGGGGGCACTTGCTCCAGGCTCAGAATGAGCTTTTCCACCACGAAATTCAGGGTCTACGCAGCGCACTTTCATTTAGAAAGAAACACAACAGCAGACTCCGCAACAATCAATTTAATCAATCTTAGAGTCGTCGATTAGATTGATTGTTAGTAGCGTCGCTACAGATTGATTGTAGATTGATTGTTAGTGTTTTTAAGCAGATTGATTGGTAGATTGATCGGATTGGTGCCAAGTCATTGAAGTTGTATACAATTACTACAGCTAGGTAATCCACTCTTGTATATTGTAGTCACGTACAAGATCCTCATCTGATAGATCGTCCTCATCGCCGCCCTTATCGCCGCCCTCAGCGCTACTGTCAGGTTGAGTTTTGAAACCAGCTCTTACCCACGCTCTCACTAACTGAAGAGCAGCGAGTAGCTCGCTGCCAATAGCGCGTCGTTTAGGCTCAAGTAGGTCGCCGAGCTCACTAAACAACCGCTCGCAATCGCTGCTCGATGCTGGGATAGTCAATATATCGATTGCAAACTGGCTTAAACACGGGTATTTTGAGCGCATTTGTATCCAATATACGACTGGGTGACCATCACCTAAGTACTGCTCTCTGCTCCACTCAGGTTCCTGGGTCTTCCAGCGCTCATACTCGTCCTCATCTGCCTCCTCGTTGTTTTTCCGGCGTATGAACGCGCCAATTACGTCATCTATCCCACTTGCAATTGTTATCGTACTTGTACGAGCTGTTAGAGGGCGCTGATGCTGAGGTTTATACGTCTGCCAGAGTCGTTGGAACCCAGCGCTAGCCGTATTAAGCCACTCTGGCTTGTCAGCCCAGCTGTTATCGCAGTAGTATTTGTAGTATGGTGTCACGAGAGGCAACGAGCAGTAATCTCAGAACTTATGAAGAAGTTTGATTTGTGTGCTACGTACAGTACTCAAGTGTAAATACAAGACGTTGCGTGAAGAAACGAAGTGGAGAGTTCCACCAGAGAAAGATATATAGCGGAAGGAAGCTTGTGTGACGTCATACAGATGTCGGGGCAGTAGCATACTGTCGAGGATAGTACATTGCGCTGTTGCGATAGGAGCGTACGGGTTAAGAGCAGGAGCGCATGGGTCAGAGGCAGGAGTGTCAAGGGGACCACGGTGGTTACCGTGACATATGGATGGAGGCAGACAGCGGCGTAGTAGGCTGGCGAGCTGTCGAGCTTGTTATAATAGTTGTTTGCCTTACTCTAGGCAGCGCGTAAGTTGATGTGGATGTGGTCCTCAGGCGCGTCAGCGTAGTTGAAATTGACTCGCTCGTACGGGCGCGTACGGGCTTCGAGCGCGCTGAGTACGTACTCAAAGACAGGTATAACCTCATATATAGCACCAAAGTTGCCTGCTTTACCGTGTCCTTCTAACCGTTCCGTAGCAAACTTAAGTGGCTCTAAGCAGTCCTGATACTCAGTTATTACTGCCCAATCAGCAGCAGTAAGACCAGTTGATCTCATCCAGGTTGGAGCGTCAGGCAGCTTGTTATTTAGCTGTATTGCGCGCCTGTTGTCAAGAGCGACCCGGCTAATGTGGTGCTCTGCGTATAAGTTATAGGCAGCCTGGAGTTGAGTAGCGCGTCGAAAAGCAGCGTAATTGTAAGGGGCTGCGCAAAGTATGCCGGTGCCTGGTAACAGGATTGTATTCGATGAAGAAAGCTATCTGCAGTGCAACGATATCTATATACGTTTGGCTTGTTGTTCACGTAGCTTCTCGAAGCATCTAAAGTGCCGAGGAAGCTCCGAAGGTTCCACCGAGGATCACCATAGCATCTGGGCTCTAGCCCGTTACAGTAATACGAGTTCCAGCGAGTGACGACAGGCTTAACCGGTTTAAGTACTTTAAGACGCTCTCTAACAGGCAACTCAGCGTTGGCAGCACGCTGAAACTCTCGAAAAAGCTCGTACTGTTGCGGTGTCTTGATGTAGTTGATAACGTCAACTAGTACGCCCAACGGCCCTTGTTTACGCCATTCCTGTAAGTATAACTCCTCTATACTGAGCTGCTTAGCAGCGTTGTCGTAAGCGTCTCTGTCTCCGCCAAATATAACAGCTTGGCCGATAAGATTGAGTGTATGAGGGCCACAACGAAGGCGTCGATGGGTGGCGTCAAAGTCGTATACGCGGCTGAGCGCGGCGATCGCGGTGTCGTTGGCGGCGTTATCGAGTACGAAATAACCCAACTTATCGCGAGTAATGCCGTATACTTTAAGAGTTTTGATGATCGCAGTTGAAATAGCCTCGCCAGTATGAGCGCCTGCGAGCAGCGGTAGGTCGATAGGCAAGTCTCGTATTACTCCAGAGGCGTCAGCAAAGTAAGCGACACTCCCAAAGAAACCACGCTTGCCGCCCTTTGTCGACCAGCCGTCAAAGCTTATATGAATTTTACTTGCAGCCTGCGACAAGGCGTGAACAACTTGGGGCTGTAACCGGCGGAATAGTCGCATCGCGTAAGTAGCAACGCTCCGAGGACTTACCCATAGTGCTGCCTCTGCCTCTGGGTTGGCAAAGTTAATTATCTCTCTAAACGAAGCGTTTGAGAGTAGCTCCATCGGCAAGTTGTTATCGAGTAGACAGAGGACTGCAGCTTGTCGAAAACGCTGTATATTGAAGTTGCCCATCGCGTTAGCAGCGCGCTGAGACCTCAACACCATTCTCAAACGCTTGCCGGAGAGAAAGCTGCCCACTAGTTTGCTGGCGCTGTTTTATGCCGTCTTTTGAGTGCATATGGCCTCGTTTTTGCTGGCTAAGATGAGACGCTGCAGCTGATGTAGCTCTTGAGACGTCAAATATGCCACTACCTCCAGCGTCAATAACCTTGTGAGTATGGCAGTACCCACATATAAACCACACTTTACTCGGGTTACTACGCTCGACAACGCTATAGCCATGTCGAAATATCCAGCTTTTAACGCGTCGCTGGGTTGCAAGAGGCTTTATAAAGCCTCTTAAGCGCTGCCAGTCAATACTATCAAAGTTATCGCCATCTCCATCATCATCGCCATCGCTACCACCATCCCTAGCTTTAGTTGTAGCCACCGTTCCAGCCTGGCTGCCCTCGATGGGCGCGACGATCTCTGCCTCTAGCTGCGACTCTAGTAATTGCGACTCAAACGTTGTAACCTGGCTCGCGGCTGCTAGGACTTGACGGGGCGATAGTGAACGTTGGGATAGGCGTTGAGATGATGGGTCCGATGAGCGTAAACGTTTAGCGGGAGCAGTGCTAGAGGTAGGAGCTCGCGAGCGTTTGGCTATATTAGGCAATCGAAACACTAGAAAACGCGTTAATATACGCGGCAGAGGCGACGTTGAGAGCTTCAAAACAGTATACAGAGAGGTAACAAGTGCTAGATAGATGAGGTTAGAGCGTGCTGACGAGTCTAGTACGGGTTAGGATGAACCCCCTGCGCTAACTGCAACACCATAAAACTATCGCAAGATAAGCAACTTAGCGGCTCTAGTAGCCTCAAAAATCTTACTAAACTCTCAATCATAACAATTAATTCAATCAATCTTTACCTCTAAGATTGAATTGATACAAATTTGTAACGTGCCCGTGCGCAGCGCGCACGGATTCGCAGCGCGCACGCCGAACACCAAAACGCTGAAACACCTACAAACTTCAACGCGTCATAACTCAACCAGCATGGCAGCTATTGACAAAGCCTTGGTAGCAATCGAATCGCGAGAGCTTGGAGATAAAATAGTATACCAGCAATATGCTGATAAGTACAACGTATCAAGGAGTGCGTTGAGCCGAAGACACTGAGGCGTTTCACGCTCGAGAGCCGACTATACAGCCGACAAACAATCCCTCGCGCCACATCAAGAGCTAGAGCTTGTGAGATATATCAAAACACTCACAGAGAGAGGCCTACCCCCTACAAGGGAGATGATCAGGAATTTCTCATCAGAAGTAGCCCATCAGCAGCTCAGCGAGAGCTGGGTTACTCGCTTCATCAACCGACACGAGATCCATCTCATCTCAAAGTGGACCAGCGCCATGGATCGTACGCGCCACCTGGCTGATTCTGAGTCAAAGTATAGACTCTACTTCGAGCTGCTGCATCGAAAGATCACCGAATACCACCTTGAGGCTCGAGATATATACAATATGGATGAGAAGGGCTTCTTAATTGGCTTAATAGGCAGAAGCAAGAGGATATTTAGCAGACGTCAATGGGAGAAGAAGGAGGTTCGAGCATCTCTCTAGGATGGATCACGCGAGTTTCTGACAGTCCTGGCCTGCTGCTGCGCTGATGGGAGCTCGCTGCCCCTAAGCCTCATCTACGCATCTGCGAAAGGAGCTATACGATCAAGTTGGGTGGAGGATATCAAGGCAGGAGAACATGCTATCTTTGTCTCATCATCTCCAACAGGCTGGTCAAACAATAACATTGGTCTAGCTTGGCTTGAGCAGGTGTTTGATCGCTGTACAAAGCAGCGATCAGGGAGATGGAGATTACTTATCCTTGATGGCCATGGATCTCATGTCACGATGGAGTTTATCAAGTACTGCGATCGCCATAGGATTCTCCTCATGATCCTTCCTCCCTATTCGACTCACGCTCCAGCCGCTCGATGTAGTGCTATTTAAGCCACTCTCTCAAGCCTACTCCAACGAGCTCACCAATCATCTCCATAAGGCTCAAGGCCTCGTCCCAATCAAGAAAGGAGACTTCTTCCCACTCTTCTGGAGCGCATGGATATCCTCCTTCACAGAGAACCTTATATTGAAGGCCTTCGAAGCTACTGGGATCTGGCCGATAGATGCCAGGAAATGAGGCAGCAGACAGATTGGCTGACCTAGGAGCTCAGCATCCATCATCCCTAACAGGAAAAGCCGCTGTGCCTACACTCTTAGGCATCAAAACGATAGCCCGCAAGACACTACGACACACGCAACAAACTTGGTGGTCTGACAAGAAGACTAAGCTCTCAAAGTGGTATAAAAGCTGGCATCTAGACTATGCGACACGCAGCAGTCTAAAGGAGCTGGAGCTACCGAGAGCCACTTTAGCCAGACTACTCTCTATTCGAACTAGGCACGGGGACTTCGCCTGGTATCATCGAAAGTACAACCACAAGGATGCGAACCTCGCCTGCTCATGCGGGCGCGACAAGACGCCAGAGCACCTCGCGCTCTGCCGCAAGACCCTAGGGGCCTTTAGCCGATGGCCACTCCGACCACCTACACCGCCATCTAGCCAAGCCGACGGCCTAGCGTATACTGCGGCCCTGATAGGGGAGCCAGAGGCCTTTGAAGCCTTCATCCAACTCACACAGTACTACACTAAGATCTGTCCCCGGTAGCTCTTCCTACCCTGCAACAGCAACAGGCAATGCAGCACCTGGCAGAACTAGGTTCAGCACAACAGCTGCAATACTCACCACCTCTCTTTTCCTCTCCCCTTCTTCCCTACACACACACACACACTCTCTCTCTCTCCCCCTCGGCACATAGAGGCCTCAAAATGCAAGGAAATCTCCTTAATGTACATACATAGCTCAGTCTCCCCAGCTGGAAGGGGGGCTGTAGTTCTGAAATGGTAGCAATACCCGCGCAGGCAAGAAATGCTTTCTAAGGTAGTGTGTTCGCACTGTAATTCCATAGCTTAGCACGTCGTATATGCCCTTCGGGAGGCGAGATGGTGGACTTAATCCCCATCAACTAGACGCAAAATGAATACCAACCAACCAACCAACCAACCAGCCGATAGATGCCAACGTTATCCTTCGTAGATTTGCTAGCACGCCAGAAGCTGAGAGAAGCTCATCGTCAGGGCTCTCTGATCATGATTGGAGAAAGATAGATCGATTAGTTCGAGCTGCTATCACTAATAGCCATCAGTATGAGGCAAGAAAGCTGCGTTCAAGCGTCCACCATCTCTCTGTTCAGAATGAGCTTTTAAAGCATGAGAATGAGGGCTTAAAGGAGGCTCTTCAACACAAAAAGAAGCACAGGAAGAAGGGCAAAGCTCTTGACCTTCAACAGCGCCAGGAGTATCACGGTGGCTCTGTCTTCTGGTCTCCTCGCAAGTTGCGTGAGGCTCGAGCTAGAGAAGCAGTACGGGAGCGAGATGAGACGGAGGAGAAACTCCAAAAAGCATTGGCCAAGAAGCAGCGTAAGGAGGCTCAACTGCAGCGTCAAGTTGAGCTCGAGGAGAAGCGTGTAGAGAGGAAGAGGCTCAAAGAGATGAGGGAGGTTGAGCGAGCTGAGAAAGCAGCTGAACGCGCGCGCAAAGTTGAAGCTCAACACCAGAAAAAATCTATCCAACAAGCTCAAAAACGCAAGCGTAAAGCCTCACAAGTACTCTCACCAAGTAACAAGCGTCAAAAACGCGCTGGCGCTGCTCACGCTGGTGTTCAAGCTGGAGATGAGCTATCTGCTACTCCAGCCAAAGTCACATCACGTGGCCGCAACGTCAACCTCCCACAAAAATATAGATAGTACAAGTTGATCGCAAGCATCTGATTACTGCTATACTACGTTTTTATTAATATTGAGTTATTATGTGGCGTTGTACAGCCTCATTTTTGAGATCGCTAAGATAGTGTTCGGCGTGCACGGACACGTTAACTCAAAACCCCGCTTCAACACCCTGCCTCAACACCCTGCCTCAATACCCTGCCTCAACACCTCAGATCCACTCTAAGCCCGATTTCCACCGGCCCCATGCCTACTATCAGCAAAAAGAACTCGAACAAAGAGTATCGTAAGAGAATAGAAGAGCGCACCAGAGCAGGACACTGTGGTTACAGCCTTTCATGTCCAGATGCACCCGGACAACACACATATTGTGAATTTCACCGTCGCCATCGAGCTACCAAGCAAAGAGCAAAGCGCGCCGAGAAAATCTACAGGCACGCATCGACAACTAGTCTAGAAGATTCTCGCGACGTGACGCGCCAAGCTCCATCGGTTCCACAAGCACAAGCAGCATTGCCCACGCGCGCTATCCATGCACCAAACGTATCGTGGCAGAAACTATTTTGGGTTTCTTTCCCTGACACAAAGCGACTCGACGAGACGGCCACTCTCGCTATCCAGCTTTTCCCCGAGGACCGTGAGAGCCTTGGTCACGATCCCTGGCTAACAGAAGCCTGTTCGATGACATTGCACAACACTGTCATACCGTCTGATAACGAGGACTGCTTCATACACCAAGGCCTAGTCACGGCACTAGCCACGAAAGCACTGGCTCAAATTTCCGTCGATGCGCATACATGGGACTGGCTGGCAACTCAACTCCAAGGTAACCTACTGTCTAGGTCCTGCACAGATGAAGATGGGAATGCGCTGCATGGCATACTGTTCCTGCATTGGACCACTAACGAGCCCACAAACCCCACCCTAGACAAGGTCTACAGCGCGGTACGCCTGTTAAAACATATCCACCCAGCATCATTTCGCGTCTACCCAAACGAGAACGAAGCCGAGCAAGAGAGGAACAAGCTAGGGGATATTCGGGCCTTAGACGAAGTCGCTTCTTCGTCGCCGCAAGAGTTTTCCTACCGGCCCAGGACATGCTATGGGCATGGTCCATGCAAGCTCCGCGATTACCAGACAACAGTCCACAAGAGGACACAGAGTGGCTGCGCGACGCATGTCCATGTTCGGGAACGTGGAGACCATCATGAACTTACCTGTCAGTCAGAGGCGCAAATGCTGGAGACTACGTCGCAGAACAGCCGAGGTCGGAAAAAGAAACCCATAGTGGCGTCAAGGTCATCTAGGACACCAGCACATAGTGCTGATCATTCGGCACATTAGTTCTAGCAAGAGTTCGTCCCGTCACTACAGAGCTGTGAGTTTCGAGTCTTCATTGCCACTGAACCAAGCAAAAGAGGCATCCGAGGTCGGATTGGTCAGGTTATTGCCATTGCGAAGACTTCCTTCAACAGTGATACACAAGCACTCGCGGTACGAGAGTTCCTTCCGGAAGACTTGGAGCCCACATTGACCCGGTTGGATCTCGTTCGATTTGCCCTCTTTATCTTTAAGAGGCTACGCGCGCGACCAGACAGTATGATCTTCTTCGAGTCTCTCGAAGTTGGCGTGCGTCTCGATATCGGCGTTGCCGACACTGGGACTGCTAAAAAGGCTTTCTTTGTAAACGAAATCATACGGTGGTACGGAGCACACTACTTCTCTTATCACATCTGCGCAGAACCAAAGACGCAAATATGCAAGGCGTTTGCGGGTGCCTTTGCCATGGTTATCAACTCTGGTACGGGGTGCGTATCCTAGTCATGTTGTACTCCTACACGCGACTCCTGTGATAGTCCGGTGTGCTCCTATAGAAAACAAGGGTCTTATTGGAACAAGGTCCCTCTAGTAGTATGACTACTATGGATAACCGAGTGGGAGGAGGGACAAGGCGGGGTGGCTACAACGTATTGTATTGACTATCGTGTAATGTGTCAAGGTCTCACTCTATTGTGGTGGGTGCTATTGCCCACCGGGCAGTGCCTGCCACACCAGCACATCATGTGACCCCCAAGCACCTTCTACCTGGACTGAACCCAGATATTCTCAACATGAAGGCAGTTAAATTTCTTGGTAACCCAGGAATTATTTCGCTCGGCACAGGCATTCCATCTAGCGATTATTTTCCGTTTGAAGAGCTGTCTATGAAATTACCTGCCGTTGGTCGCTTTTCAGAGGCTGAAACAAGGGACTTTGGTGTTACTATTAGTGTTGGCAAACACGATCTAATGCACCATAGATCTGTATTTGATATCTCTACAGCATTCAATTATGGCCCCGGATCTGGCTCAGCACAACTCTTGCGGTGGATCACCGAACATACAGATCTCATACATAATCCGCCGTATCGAGACTGGCGTTGCTCGATGAGCGTTGGAAATACATCTGCGATTGAGATGGTTTTTAGATTGCTTGCCGAGCGTGAGGATTCGGTGCTTTTCGAAGAGTACACCTTTACCGGTGCTGTCGAAATAGCTACTCCTCTCGGTATCTGCCCGATCGGCGTTCCCATAGACTCTGAAGGTCTCCTGCCAGAGGGATTGGACGATATTCTCTCCAATTGGGATATTCAAACACGTGGCACTCGTAAACCACACCTCTTGTATTCCATCCCGACCGGACAAAACCCCACAGGTGCTACCCAGACTGCCGCCCGCCGCCGCTCTATATACAAAGTCTGTCAGAAACACGACGTACTCATAATTGAAGACGACCCCTATTATTACTTGCAAATGGAACCTTACCATCATGACTCTAGCACTGCTGTAGCGGCTCTGTCATCGCATACTAAATTCCTACAGTTGCTCGTGCCAAGTTTCCTCTCTATGGACACAGACGGTCGTGTTATTCGATTCGACACTTTTTCCAAGGTGGTCGCGCCAGGCTCTCGCATAGGATGGGTGACGGTATCGCAGCAGATTATCGAGAAATACAAAGCACACTCTGGATTGTCGACCCAGGGCCCGTCTGGAGTATCACAGCTCATCCTCTGGAAGTTACTAGACGAGCACTGGGGCCACGCGGGATATCTTGACTGGCTTCTCTACCTACGCAAAGAATATACATCTCGGCGGGCCACCATTCTATCTGCTTGTGAAGAATTCCTCCCTAAACAGGTTGTGTCATGGGCCCCACCTAGAGCAGGGTTCTTCAACTGGCTGCAGATAGACTTTCGTCGGCATCCAAACTATCCTCAACAAGACATACTTGCAATTGAGGAGCAGTTATTCATGCGGGTTATTAACCATGGTACATGGATTCTGTGTGGTCGCTGGTTCAGGGCAGACTCAACGCAACCCCTTAACTTATTATCCTTCAGGTTGACATATGCTGCAGCCCCAGCGGAACATATCAGCGAAGGAATAAAGAGACTAGGGGCGGCGATCAGAGAAGAATTCAGATTGGAATAGGTATGGCATGGCAACTAACTTCGATCTGTTAGAGAATTAGAAGAAGAAGAAGTGATATTCAGTATCTAGTATTTACAAGCAATGACAATGTTTGAGACTAATACTATTACTATCGGATCGTGAGTATCGGTAAAGTCCCTCCGTATGTGCCGGAAAACCTGGTGGGCCGGAACTAGCCAATAATAGCGAAAAGTCAGCAGTCATCCCCACGCGATGCTGTATCTCATTGGCTCATTCCGGCCCACCAGGTTTTCCGGCAGCCACGCATTTACCCGCTAGTACCTTTACGGCCTAGCTGCTTCATTCCCTCTTCCCACTGCGTATATAGACCTCTTTCCGATAGCTCTAATACTACATGATTCTCCTCAACCTTGACGCTTGACATAAAGGTCTATGTACAAGAGCGCGGGGAGGATATGTACCGTAGGGTAGCAGGCGCTAGGCCAAGATAGGGATGAGGGCACGTGACCTACAGAGTGCCGAGTTGGTGCCGTGACACTTACGTCACACTCTTACTTCTCTATTCTCTACTATCTCTCTTACGGCATTGAACTGCCTCTAAACACACAAGGGATCCACCCTAATGTTGTCAGATAATAGCACTGTTGAAGATGAGAGCGTACAGACGCTGGGTTAGACTAGCGCGACCCGGCATCTGTGAGAGCCAATCGGATCACAGGAAGGCTTGGCACCCCCTAGGTGTGCCCACAACCGTAGACAGAACCAAGACACAATCAATCATCAATATCATCATCATCATTACCTATTTTATCAGTATTCCAGATGAGAGTGAATATCTGACACTCCACAACCACGCGGCTGCACGGCTTGGGAGTAGTTGGAATCTGTTTCTTTTGATGGGTTTAGTCGGTTTCTGATGGAGTTTTACGTGTTCTGAAAAACTCGAAGTTCGTGTTGCCCACTTTGTAAGGCTAACGTTAAAGCGGGTGGTAGCTAGATGGAGTTCTGTTAGTTTTGTAGCGACCTTTTATTATTATGGTGACTCTTACAACTCTAGCGCTAGAGCACACGGGATTCACTTAAGCCTATACTAGAAACACCGCCCTGATTTACAATACTGACTGCAATTATGGCTTGGTATGATCTAATAACTCCGTAAAACCCGACACTATTTATAAAAAGACCCTTGTTCTCTATAGGAGCACACCGGACTATCACAGGAGTCGCGTGCAGGAGTACAACATGACTAGGATACGCACCCCGTACCAGAGTTAATAACCATGGCAAAGGCACCCGCAAACGCCTTGCATATTTGCGTCTTTGGTTCTGCGCAGATGTGATAAGAGAAGTAGTGTGCTCCGTACCACCGTGTGATTTCGTTTACAAAGAAAGCCTTTTTAGCAGTCCTAGTGTTGGCAACGCCGATATCAAGACGCACGCCAACTTCGAGAGACTCAAAGAAGATCATACTGTCTGGTCGCGCGCGTAGCCTCTCAAAGACAAAGAGGGCAAATCGAACGAGATCCAACCGGGTCAATGCGGGCTCTAAGTCTTCTGGAAGGAATTCTCGTACCGCGAGTGCTTGTGTATCACTATTAAAGGAAGTCTTCGCAATGGCAATAACCTGACCAATCCGACCTCGGATGCCTTTTTTGCTTGGTTCAGTGGCAATGAAGACTCGAAACTCACAGCTCTGTAGTGACGGGACGAACTCTTGGTGGAACCAATGTGCCGAATGATCAGCACTATGTGCTGGTGTCCTAGATGACTTTGACGCCACTATCGGTTTCTTTTTCCGACCTCGGCTGTTCTGCGACGTAGTCTCCAGCATTTGCGCCTCTGGCTGACAGGTAAGTTCATAATGGTCCCCACGCTTCCGAACATGGACGTGCGTCGCGCAGCCACTCTGTGTCCTCTTGTGGACCGTTGTCTGGTAATCGCGGAGCTTGCATGGACCATGCCCATAGCATGTCCTGGGCCGGTAAGAAAACTCTTGCGGCGACGAAGAAGCGACTTCGTCCAAGGCCCGAATGTCCCCTAGCTTGTTCCTCTCTTGCTCGGCTTCATTCTCGTTTGGGTAGACGCGAAACGATGCTGGGTGGATGTGTTTTAACAGGCGTACCGTGCTGTAGACCTTGTCTAGGGTGGGGTTCGTGGGCTCGTTAGTGGTCCAATGCAGGAATAGTATGCCGTGCAGCGCATTCCCATCTTTATCTGTGCAGGACCTGGACAGTAGGTTCCCTTGGAGTTGGGTTGCCAGCCAGTCCCATGTATGCACATCAACGGAAATTTGAGCCAGTGCTTTTGTGGCTAGTGCCGTGACTAGGCCTTGGTGTATGAAGCAGTCCTCGTTACCAGACGGTATGACAGTGTTGTGCAATGTCATCGAACAGGCTTCTGCTAGCCAGGGATCGTGACCAAGGCTCTCGCGGTCCTCGGGGAAAAGCTGGATAGCGAGAGTGGCCGTCTCGTCGAGTCGCTTTGTGTCAGGGAAAGAAACCCAAAATAGTTTCTGCCACGATACGTTTGGCGCATAGACGGCGCGCGTGGGCAATGCTGCTTGTGCTTGTGGAGCCGATGGAGCTTGGCGCGTCACGTCGCGAGAATCTTCTAGACTAGTTGTCGATGCGTGCCTGTGGATATTCTCAGCGCGCTTTGCTCTTTGCTTAGTAGCTCGATGGCGACGGTGAAATTCACAATATGTGTGTTGTCCGGGTGCATCTGGACATGAAAGGCTGTAACCACAGTGTCCTGCTCTGGTGCGCTCTTTTATTCTCTCACGATACTCTTTGTTAGAGTTCTTTTTGCTGATAGTAGGCATGGGGCCGGTGGAAATCGGGCTTGAAGTGGATTTGAGGCGTTGAGGCAGGGCGTTGAGGCAGGGTGTTGAGGCAGGGTGTTGAGGCAAGTTTGGCAGGCCGCCCGAATGGCCGAGTATGCTAAGACGCTAACTTACCGGTACCTACCGTGCACGGTCACCTTTTGCCTCGGGTCAACTTTTGACGCACCCCACCAACATGAGAAACTCAGAAAATGAAGCTGTAGAGCCACCAACAAAAGCTATTATCGCGAGATACCTTAGAATTGTACTCACTATACTATTGCGATCAACTTGTGCTACTTGTATTTACTTGGTACCTTGGTGGTGCGGCCAAGGCGGGTGGTTTGAGTTGGGACGGGTGGTGCAGCCACATCAGCTTGTACATTAGATGAATCAACAACAACACGTTTCTGATGCTTCTGCTTCTGAGTAGACGCTTGTGAGGCCTTGCACTTACCCTTTTGGAACAGTTGTGTAGCTTTTTCGGCGTCGCGAGCTGCTTTCTGGCGCTCCTTTTCAGCTAGCTTTGCGGCTCGCTCCTTCTCCCGCACCTCCTTAAGTCTCTCTCTCTCAAGACGCTTCTCCTGAGCTTTTTGGAGCTTAAGTAATCGAGCTTACTTCTTTAGCTCAGATCTCTCAGCTTTCTGGAGTTGTAGCTCATGTTGCTGTCGTCGTCGTACCATCTCATCGTCCCTGGCTTGACGTACTTTCCTGGGCGACCAGAAAACAGCTCCACCGTTATACTCCTGGGGATTATTAAGTTGGAGGGTAACGTGGATGGCAAGCGAGTGGGCCAGGCAAGCGAGTGGGCCACCCCACCAACTTTTTGCATCTACCTAACTTCAATCAATTATGGCTCCACCAAAACAATCCCAAAACCCTTCTTATGAAGCTGATATACAGCTAGCTATCTCAGCTACTACCCGAAACCAGCTCCAGTCTAATAGAGACGCTGCGCGGACATTTGAAGTCGCCCGAATGACACTCACGCGCCGACGCGCTGGTATACCTGCACGACGCGATTGCCAGCCTAACTCAAGGAAGCTTACCCAGAGAGAAGAGGAGGTGATTATTAGCTATATACTTCACCTAGATCAGCGCGGGTTTGCGCCTACCTACGCAGCTGCACGCGATATGGCTGATAAGCTGCTGGCTGCGCGCGGCGCTGGCCAGGTTGGGCAGAAGTGGCCAGCCAACTTTGTTAAGCGTACAGACAGTCTTCGGACGTGTTTCAACCGAGCGTACGATAGGCAGAGAGCTATGTGTGAGGATGCGACATTAATAAAGAGGTGGTTTAAGCTTGTAGAAGAGATAAAGGCTGAGCAGGGTATCTGCGATGAGGATGTCTACCAGACTCCGCAACAATCAATCGGATCGGCATGATTGATTCCTATCTAGGTTAAAGGCTGCCTAATAAAGTAACTCTTTAACCTATATAGGAATCAATCATGTCGATCGATTGATTGTTGCGGAGTCTGATGTCTACAACTTTGATGAAGCTGGCTTTATGATGGGCAAGATTACAACGCAGCTGGTTATAACAGGATCAGAGAGAAGAGGCCGGCGGAAGAGTATTCAGCCAGGCAATCGCGAGTGGGTAACGCTGATTGCTGCCATCAGCGCTGGTGGCTGGTCAGTGCCACCGTTCCTCATCTTCGCTGGTCAGTACCACCTATCAGCGTGGTATGAGGAGGATATCCCACGCGACTGGGCGATCGCAGTCAGCGATAATGGCTGGACGAATAATGAGCTTGGAGTTGAGTGGCTAAAGCACTTCAACGCTCACACGCAGGCTCGTACTATAGGCGCGCGTCGCCTGCTTATTATTGATGGCCATAGGAGCCACCAATCTCTAGAGTTCCAGGAGCTCTGTAAGGAGAACAATATCCATACGCTCTGTATGCCTCCTCACTCATCTCACCTACTCCAGCCACTTGATGTTGGCTGCTTCTCGCCATTAAAGCGCGCGTATAGCCGTGAGGTGGAGAGCCTCATGCGCAACCACATCAACCACATCACCAAGCTAGAGTTTCTGCCTGCGTTTAAGGCTGCGTTTGATCGAGCGTTCACGCCAGCTAATATCTACTCAGCCTTCCGCGGCGCAGGCCTTGTTCCTCTACAACCAGAGGCTGTTCTATCAAAGCTAGATGTACAGCTGCGTACACCTACTCCTCCAGCAGCTCTACCAGATGCTCCCTGGGTAGCTCAAACGCCGAGC